TACCTGAACCAAAATTTCTAGAAATGTGTAATACAAATGAAGAATTTCTAGAAATGTGTAATACAAATGAAGAAAGGTTATAGAGCTCTTCTTTTATATATTACATATGTAAGCAATGGGTGCTAGGAAAAGAGAAAGACAGTCGAAGTTAACTTCATTTCTGACAGTATCTAATTCTGAAGAACCTGATTTTTTAAAAATAATTTTCACTCAGCTTAGGCAGAAAATGCAGAACTTTCTAGCTGTATTACAGTAAAGGGGAAAGACTCTACTCCACAAAAATGAATCAAATGCATGTGTTCAAATAGAAAGTACAAAAAAAAAAAAAAAAAGCATGTTTTCAAAAAAAAAATAAAAAAAAAAAAAAAAAAAAAAAAAAAAAAAGAGCTTGTGCCCGACCTATGGCTGAAGAGGTGAGGAGGAAATTTTGACACTTGGGAAAGACGGTTACCATATAAAACAACCCAGTCATCCCACAATTCATTTATTTAAGAAAGTTCTTAAGACAGATACTAAAAAAGGAGCTGCATAGGTTCATTGCTTTGCAGATCATAGATTTAGGATATGAACATAGATACATTTGAAGCCTTTTCAAAAGGGACATGTTTCAAAAGGGGAGCTATTGAGCAGAAGCATGCAACAGCTATTATATTCTAAGTTACATGGGGACAAACCAGGAACAATGCAAAGGTAGCAAAACTATGAACTGTACCAACACTGCTTCATCCAGTGATAACATTAGAACAGTTTTTTGTATCATTCCCATCTTGTCCATATCTAAATGGTAGAACAAAACTGCTGCAGTATAGTTCAGAGCAAGATTTTACCTCTTTTTGAAATGGCTCCAAATGTACATGTATCCATACTCTAAGTAAAATCACTGAAGTGGAAACACCTGTCAGTCACTTGGGGCGGGGGGGTAGAATGGAAACTTGTATGTATAGAGTCATAAGAATTATATAAATACGGAAAAAAGAACATTTTCTACTTCTTACAAAGGAAAAAATTTGCAGAGATGTGGCTGATGACAAAGATGTGTCAACACTTGATGCATTAGCAGGGGGTGGCAGGCGTGCTTAAAAAATAATAGCATACACTTGTGTGCATTCTATGTTCCCTGTAGGAGACACTTTCCTCAGACTGCTGTTTGATTTGTGTTTTGAATATGATGCGTTTCACAAGAAAAATACAAAAATACTGGGCGTTGAAAGTCTATGTGGATGACATTTTGATCTGGGGAAAAACAGTAGAAGAGTGTGACCAAAGTCTGTAACAATAGGAAGTAAAGGAAGTAAATTTGTATAAAAAATGACTGTCCTATGATTTTAATAACAAAATTATTTATCCCACAAATGAACAGAACTTTTACCTTCTTCTTTCATTTATTAAATATCTCCAAAAAATAATCTAATCAGATTCCATATTTTCACATCTAAAATGAAGAACTTTTCCAAATTATACCAATAGGGGACTGATATGGACCTCATTAGTCATCCAGTCCCATCCTCTGCTATTGCAGGAAAACATATAATATAGTCCCTTCCCTTCCAGAACTTATATGGTTTTGCAAGCAAAATCAGAACAGAAGTAGCAAATTGCTGTCCCTGTATCAAATAGCAAATCTTCAGCAGTGTGGCTTGCTTGGTTTTGTATAAAGAATTGATAATGTATGTTTGAGAGTGTTTCAGAAAGTAACTGTTACTTTGAAATAAAACCAGTTTGTGTACAGTGAGTGGGAAACTGTACAGCAGTACTCATAAATGCCATGTGCCCCTGGAGGATGGGAGGGCATGGTGAGCTCCCACAGGCAGCAACAGTACTGGTGGCGGTGGGAGCATGACAGCAGCAAGTGGTGAGCTCCCGCAGGCAGCCACAGTGCTGTTGGCGGTGTGGGGCGAGGAAGGGTGGTGAGTGCTGACCAGCAGTCGGTGACCAGCCACAGACACCACGGGCAGTGTCAGCAGTGGCCAGTGGCAACTGGGGACTGCCTGAAGATAGCACCGGTGGTGTCGACAGTGAAGGGAGGGTGGCTAGCGGTGACTGGCAGGGGGTGCACCACCAAGCGCAGGGGGTGCACATGCCCCCACATGCACCCCCAATGCATCATCACCAATGGCAGTGGGGAACACTGACAGTGGCAGGCATTGTTGAATGCTCCCATCATTTACAACTATGTAGAGAAGTGATGTAGTTCAGAAAACAATCATTGCACACAAAAAGGTTTTATTTCAAAATTGCTGTTACTTTCCAAAACATCTTTGTATTTTGCTTTTGAACAACCACATACCCAAAATGCCTGTAATAGAAAGGAAAATAAAAGGAGGAAAAGTTTCATTTTTTGTTGAGCTCATTACTATTCCTTCCATAATTTTTCTTTGATTTTGCCAACAGTGGAAAGGTATCCCTTCCTTTACATTGATACTCTTCTTCATGTACAGATTGAAGCTAGAAATGCTTGCCTAAGATCCAATCCTGAAAAGAAAACTATACAAACAGACCTCTACCCCAATAATGAACCCTAAATGAAAGTGGGAGTGGATTGCAGATAATTGATTATGCAAATAGATACATAACACATTATGGATACATTATAATCCATTAGAAAACAAATCCCACCACATAAAAATGTACTGAGTTGGTTGTACCTTATATTATAATTCCTCTTACTTCAGCCTTTAGAAAAAAAACAAAATAAAAAAATGCATTTGATATTCATTATACTACTATTTGAAAAGAAAAAATGCTAACCCTACCTCTTCACAGGTAGTCCTGAAATCCATGTGCTATGGCACAGCTAGTGATATTTGTCTAAAACAAAGAGAAAGATTTCATTAAAATTCAATCCAAGAACGAATAGATATTGCAAGACATAGTTATCTAAATTAAGTAGAAAGACACTGTCTTCCACTGTATGAGCTCTGCTTATATTCATTACATAAAAAGGAGGAAAGATCAAAGTTGTAAGAGGATAGGAATATGTGTGAAGCTGAAAAGTTGTTCCTGGTTTTTATGAAGCACACCAACTGATTTGATTAAGTATAATTAAGGGAGATCAGATGTTTCTATCAACTTCCCCATTGCACTACACATTCAAACTTATTCGTCTGTATGATTGACCTTTTATTGTAACCATTAGCTTATTTTCCATTTATTCTTCAAAGTAAGAGTACTTGGAAAGAAACCCTTTAGAAAGGAACAATTA